GAGAGCCGGCGTTCGGTAAAGAGAACCTCGTCCTTCTGCCTCGTACACTCGTTCTAGGAAAATGTTGATGTCTCTCTCGTTCTCTCGTGCGCTCTCTCCACAATCCATTTTTTCCCTTCTCGGCTGTGTCTCTCTCTGTGTCTCTCGTGCTTGCGAAACATCGCAGAAGGGTTTCGCGCAGCCGGCGACGACGTGGAAATGCCGGAAGCGGCAGGAGCTTCGGGTCCTTTAGGTGTGGGCAGGAGCAGGGACTAAGGACTAAGGACGTGCATTTTGTTTCGTTGTTTGTATGGCGTATGGCACTTGTGGTTTGGTGGGGGGTGGAATAATCAATCGTATCTGTTTGTCTGCAGGCCCCATATTGTACGGTGTACACCGCACCCCCTTGACGGTTCTTCAATTGCTCGATTGAAGAACAACCAATTTGGTCCCTATGGTACAAAATGGTACTATGGTACCCGTGCCGAACAATACGTTTTCCGGAACCTCTCGGCAATATATGCTTCCCTGCAAGTAACGTGTCTGTTATTTAAACAAGTGCCTACACACCACTCTTGTCTGATTGACTGCAACATAGGCAGCGGATCCTCATCTTCCCCACTCCTGGCGCCTGGAGCAAGCACAAACCCTGGCCCACCACGTCCGCCCATCGTTTGTTTATCCCCCGGTATGAACATTATCATACAGCCGTCGCGGATTATCAGGCAGGACACGTGTTCGAAGTGGCCGACGGAGCCGACAGCAAGACGACTTGGGAAGCGATCGAGGCTCAGCTCCAAGCGCATTTCGGCTCCACCGATTACGTGGTCATGAGGAGGAACAGCATGAGGGTGAGGAGGCCCCGATTACATATTCGTATCGGTCGCGATGTGTGTGGAGAACAGTAAGGGGTTAGGTTGTGAAGGGCAAGGTGTGCCTGCTGTTTGCTGTTTCTTCCGCTGTTCCGTTATTGACCAAATCGGTCCGCTGATTTTCTGAACATGTGGCATTCCGCTTGATAGGGATAGGGTGCGGCAACATTAGGCGCTTAGGGGCAAGGGTTAGGCGGTGGTGTGTGAAGCGCATGCACTGTATTTAAGTGCCGCGGAGGTCTGCCTCTTGTTGCTACTTAGACCGTGTGAGCACTTTAGGCGCACGTGTGCACAACACACACCAAACAAAGTAAACAAACCACACAGGGTTAGGAGTTCTTGCCTTTCCCCTGCCCCATCCACGGACATAACGACATTCACGTATGAACCCCTGCGCTGACGCACATGCCTCTTCCTCTTCTCACAACCCACGTGTGTGTCTGCCTTTCGCTGTGCATATCCGCAGAGTGTCACCCAGGGGCAACAACGACAAGGTTCTGATGAAGCACCCTACCTGGAGCAGCGGGGTTCTGGGGACTATGCTCAAGTTCTTTGAGCCAATTGGGCAGGCGCTCAAGCAACTCGGAGCAAGCAACTACGCCTTGGATGTGAGATGCCTTTGTGCTGTAGCGTGGTGGATTTTCTTTCTGGGGAGTATGGCGGTGTAGTTTACATTATTGCTGTGGAAATAGCTGAAGGGATCCCCCTCCCCTCCCCGGAGGTCGCCTTTCTTGTTTGCGGACGTTCGCGGGCCGGGGGCACTCCACAGTTCACATGTTTTGCGTCTGGTGTTGGTTTACATGGAACGCCTTGAACCAGGTTTCTTCCGAAACCCAAACCCTCGATTAACGCTGCCTCCAAGCACACCATCAACCGACAATACCTGCCGCCCGATCGTACTCGAGGAAGGCACGCTTTTAACATCCCATTTGGGACCTATGTCTGGGGGCCTTTTTCGTTGGTGTATTCTCTTTCGCCTCAGGTAACCAAATCGGAGGCGGTAGCAGCCATGACGTACGCGACGGAACGGCTCGCCCAGGGCTCGGATGCAGTGACAGCTCTGCTGCCGACGCTAAGCCGCATAAGAGGGCGGCGTGCGTTTCGCCACCGCTCCGGATTCGAGGGACTTGCCAAATATCGACGACAACGGTGGCGACGATGCCACCATGTAAGCTCGGACATCTCTCCCCGCCTTTTGCGCTTTGCTGCACGGGCAGGACATCACGGAAGTGTACAAGATATCCTTTCGTTCGGGCGGTGCGGATGGGCGAGCCCATCTCGTCGTGACGGGGCCAGGGGGCTTTTACCTTTGTTCTTGCCTCCACCTGCTCCGCACCGGCCGCTTCTGCCGGCATTTCCTGGCAGTGCTGGCGGATTTCTTCGCGAAGGGCGGCTGGGAGTTTGACCCGGCGTGTCTTCACCCGAGGTGGCGGGAAGATGAGAGGCCTTGGAGCATGGCCTCCATCGCCAGGAAGACGATACGGGAGGAGCCGTGTACGGAGGGCGCAGACGACGCGGCAGCTGGCATTGTTGCGGAGCGGGAGCGTGTGACCAAGATAAAGGCTGCCGCGAGCAATGTCATCCACGCCGACTGGGTCGCTTTGGGAAAGGAGTGGGGGCAACAGGCGTCGTCGTCGGGGCTCAGCATCCCCGGGAATGAACGTCTCATGCGGCAGATGAAGGCGATTTTTGACCTCACCCTCAAGAGCGAGCTTGAGTCGGCCAAGACTGCCGGTGGCACCACGACCATCACATTTTCAGGCACCCGTCGTCAGGCAGTGGACCCCAGCTCACCCGCCGGCAGCGGTGCCGTAGACGGGGGAGGGGCAGCGGTGGCAGGTCGGGGCCGCGGTGGACGATCGACTGGGCGGGGGCGGGGTCGTGGGGGGCGTGTCGCAGCGGAGGGAGGGGGTCGGGGCCGGGGCCGGGGACATGGACAGGCTTCTGGTGTGGACGATCGGGTGGTGGAAGGTAGCCATCGAACGTGTGAAGCAGCGGGGGAGGGCGCCGCGGGAGGAGTGCGTGCCGACCACCTCACGGCCGCGGGTGGGGGCGGCCTGCTCTCGTCGCCGTGTGCAGACGTGGAACGCCGTTCGCAAACCCGCTCTCTCCCTCTCCAACAGTGGGCGTCGAACGCAGGAACGGAGAGCGGCCGTCAGGGGGAGGGCCGGGGAGGACGGACGTTACGGGGGGTGCTTCCAGCAATGCAAGGGTCGCTACCCTTTTCAGAGCGTGAGCAATACGGCGGCTCATGGGTGGACTATAGGACGGGGGTGGGGTCTCGGGCGGGCCATGGGTAAGAGGGGAGGGATACGGCGGCTCATGGGTGGACTCCGGGATGAGGGTGGGGGGAGGGACTGGTGATGAATGTAGACGTAGCGCGGATCCTGGGTATTTCCCAGCTTGCTACGCAGAGAGTGCGGCTCGACCGTCCGTTGCACAGCAGTTAGTTAGTGGTGGAGTGGAAGATAGAAGTGCGTACGGGGGAGGCATCGGAGAGGTTGGCTTTCCTTCCCACGAAATAAGTGGGAGCGGTCGTCGTTTAGCGCCCGCCGAGCTACCGCTTTTTGCCGAAACGTCCATGGTACGACCTTCCCCGAGGGCTCCACTCAGAGCACAGCAAAAACGTAAAAAATCAAGTACAGAATCTGGTGCCTCAGGTCGGAGCAAGGGGCTATTTAAAGTGTGGTAAAGAGGGGATGGATTTTCAATTGTTGCTGCTTTCGGGCTCAGTATTATGGTGTTCTTGTACGGTGTACGGTGTTGCACGAATTTGTTTTTCACGTGCTGTTGGGCTGATTGCCTTCTCGCAGATGTAATGCATATATGCCGTACGGTGTGGCATCAATAGCTGTATATCTTCCCCTCTTTTTTTCACCATGAGTTTTGTACAAACATACGGGTTTTTGTTTGTATTCTGCGTGGGATGTTTGTTTCTGTCGTATATTTAAGATTTACCCTCGTGGGCCAGGGGCCAGCGGGATCGTGTTTTGTTGTGGGTGTGCTCGTCTGTTTTGTTTGTTCTATGGTCTTTCTTGGTTTCAGTGCCGGCAGCGTGTGCGCGTAACCCTAACCCCTGTTTTTTTTTTGCTGTTGCATGGTTGCTCTCTCGCTCTGTCTAACCTTCGTTGTGCCTATGTGCATATGTATCCAGCAAGCACATGCATACGTGGGAGCAACGGCACAAACTACTAGACGCCATCCAACGGCACACAACGGCAACACACACCGCACACAGCACACACACATAAAGACACACAAATCCGCACACTCGCACTAAGACCAACGTCTTTTCATTGGTCAGCCGGTTAGCGCGGTCGATGCTAATAATAAAGATACACACACCTTCAAAGTGATGATCAGAATGATGGTAGCGAAAACATGGAGGACAATGGTGGAAGTACTCCTAAACGAACTAGAGTACAAGGCAAGGTAGTCGTGTGCAGTTTTCTTCTGTTGCTGCTGTTTCTGTTTTTGATCCGAAGGACAGTTTAGCCTCCCCCATGCTGCCCCCTCACGGGGTCCCAGTTCATGGCAGATAGAAATGTTTTGTGTTTTCATCCGCACTAGGACTGACGTCTTTTCATCGGTCAGCCGGTTAGCGCGGTCGATGCTGACAATGAAGATACACCACACACAAGCGCGCGAAAAAGAGAACCGTTTCAGAACCTAGTTACAGGCTGGGTGCATCTAAGATTTGCGCCTATATGGGTGCATAATTTTTTTCCCCAAGTCCCCGAGTCGAACGTTTGTGCGGGTAGACAGACGGGTAGACATGGTCAAGAGGGTTTCCAGAAAACGCCTGGCGAACCGACGGTTTTCCTCCCCAAAAAAAAAATGGGATTTCGGGACGGGAGCCAACGCCAAGCCGTGACGTTGTGGGTGGGTACGTATCCAACATTGACGGCGACATGAAACGAACATTCCCGCAAATTTGCGAGAGCTCGGTTCAACGGGTTCTATCACAGGAGTTGAACATACACGCCGATCGATGCGAACGCGTATATTGTATGTAGGATAAAGTTGTAATTTTCAAGGACCCGATTTTGGTTGTCCCTCTATAACTTTTGACTGAGAGCGAGTAGAAGAAAAAGGAAAACAGCTTCGGAACGCCCGCGGCAAGGCGCACGAGAGTAGCGAGTCGCCAAAAAAAAAAAGGAAAAAAAGAGAAAAAAAGAGAAAAAAAGATGCTCGCGGCGGGTCTCGAACCCACGAAATTGGCCCTAGAGCAACTTTTCCCCATATATGTTGCTAATCCTTTTTTTTTTTTTCGCACCAAACCACCCACACGTGCACAGGAACGCCCTCAAACACTATGCAAATGCCTCTACCGCACCTATAGCGTACATACATCACAAAAATTGGCCGTTTTCAACAAAAATGTTCCATTTTTGTACAACATTCCCACCAGAAACACGGAAAAAAACTGAACAAATACATACAGCTCAATGAACAAGAATGCGCCATCGACTCTACGGCCTCCATTCCTTCGGGGTCGGGCGCCTGTGCGACTTGTACTTCTTGTACGTCTTCTTGCCCTCAGGCCCTTGCATACGCGTCTCGCGGTACATGAGGGCGTGTGTGTACGCCTTCTTGCAGTAGCCCTGGACTACCGAAACAGCCTATCCTTCTCTGGTCTAAAACTCAGCGGCACGTTCTTGCGCAAG